TGTCCCCGCCATGCCCCTGCCTGGTTATCACCCGCTACCCTTGTAGAACAGCCTCTCCACTTATCTGAGCCAGTTTCAACACACAGCTTGAGCAGATGGGCTCAAACAGATCTGGTTTTGAGTTTTAACCTTCTGAGCCTTAGTTGCTTCACCTGTAAAATGAGTGGATGCTCTGAATTAATGAGATAGCTTTGTAGCACAGATACCCTCGATTCTTGCCAGTCTGGGTGCGGGAGCCCAGATGTGTCCCTGAGTCACAAAGGTCACACAGAAAACTACCAACATTGGTGTTTTCCAAGCCTCTTCTAGGGAACACTAGCTCTGAAAGATACTGATTTGTGTACCTGGAAGAAGGTTGTGATACGTGTTATGTCAGGGGAATTACAGGGCCAACAAAGTTAAACAAATTTGTTGGTTATAGGGCTTTCCAGAATCTTTCATTGCTAATACGTATTGTAAGTTTCTAAGAGGTGACATCATTTACATAATTTCTTAAATTGTTTGGCACAGAATTCTTTTTTAATGCCCCCACCCCCCTCCCTGCTAGGATCAAGTTTTCTGCAAACTCACCTGGGAAATGAAGGTTTAAGTAAGGCTGAGCAGAAAGGTTAATGGCTCATCCAATATTTACTTTCCTCTTAGCCGGAACTAAGATGTGTTAGGACTCAGTATCTCTGATAGCCACGAGGCTGCGAGCTAAGGATTTCATTTGCTTTTAACTTTATGATGCTGAACTGATCTAGTGGCTGGTTACTAGCGTAAAAGTCACACCTCTGAGGTCTAAGTCTTTGTGACCCGATCCTTCCTTCAATATGCAGGCCTATTTCATCATCTCCATGAGGTTTTCGCCCAGCATTCAACCATCACGCCTGCCCCACACTTCCTGAAACACTGTTTGAACTTCTCACTTGACATTCAGCTTGTCTTGTTCTGTGTATGTGTTTTCTGTTGGGCCTGCTGGCTGCCCCTTGTCCCTGGTTCCTGGAAGGCAGCCTCTAAATCCTTGGAATTTCCCGAGTTATAAGAGTGTCTTTGTTCTTTTTGGTGGGTCTCTCTGGACCACACCTGTGTTTATGCTAGTGCGTGACTCCGGGAGGGCCCCTGGTTTATGTTAATGAAGTAACTAGTGAGGGACCCTAATGCTAATGAGGTAACTGGGGAGGGGATTGCTGTACCAGCAAGACCAACCACGTGATTAAGTAGAAGTTTGGGGCTTTGAGCCATGTGACAACGGCCTGACTTCTGTTGGGACTGAAGGGGACAGGGGCTGAAGATTGAGTCTCAGACCAATGACTCAATGAACCATATGCTGATGTAATGGAGACCACGGATGCCAGAGTCTCCCGGGATGGCGATGCTCCGTGTATTTGCACACATCCGTGGCTCAGAGGTGGTGGATTCTGACTCCGTGGAGAGAGGACATGGCCGCTTCACGTTTGGGACCCTCCAGGCCTCACTCTGTGTGTCTCTTCTTTTGGCTATAATAAAACTGTAATCATTAGTGTAGTACTTTCATAGGTCCTGTGAGTCATTCTAGTGAATTATTGAACCTGAGGGGGAAGGTGGGAACCCCAAATTTGTAGCCAGTTGGTCAGAAGTGAGGGTAGCCCTGGGGACCCCCAAATTTGTGGCTGGTGTCTGAATCCAGCCTTGGGAACTACTGGCATAGCGGAAAATGCACCAGATTTGCGGGAAGGAGATCAGGGCTCTGGAGGTGTTTCCGAAAGTGACCCAATGTGTGACTTTCCTAAGACTCTGTTTTCTTGCTTGTAAAATGCAGTGAACAACTTTGATTTATTCATAGGTTTGTTGTGGGAGGTCCAATGGCACAGGTACTAGCATCCCAGCCCTAAGGAGGCTACCGCACCCTCACGGAGCAGATGCAGAAAGTCTCCATGTGCTCTTGAGAGGTGGAGCCTGCAAAATGGGAGTCCAGAGGACGTGAAATGGCTCTTGCCCTCATCTAAGCATGGAAGACGAGTCCAAGGATCCCATTTTGGTGACGCACACATCTGAGAGTAAGAAAGAAAACCTATTCACCTCCACCCCCTATCCCCCCAAACACACATTACACTTCCCATCATTTTCTCTTATTGGAGACTTAAGTCCCTGGGTGTGAGTGTGGGCACCTGTATATCAGTGGAGAGAGAGAGAGACAGAGAGAAGAGTTTCGGTTCTCATGACCATCCTTACCTGCCCACGGCATGGCTTTTACAGGCTCGGGCTCAAGCCTTAAGATCCACAGGAATGTACACGACTCATCGAAGCCTGCTGCCCCTCCGCCGACTGAGTCCGGCAGTTCCATCGCCTTCCCAGCCCTGTCAGTTTCACCTGAGCAGTTCAGCCGTGGCTGAAATCAACAGCACCATGCAAAGCTCTTGCAAACCGCATACGCCAAAAAAGAGTGACCACAAAGGGAAATGTTTTGTTTTTTAGCAAATGTATTCTTGCTCCATTATTTTAAAAAGACTGAACAGCCAAAAGTTAAATCTCCTTTTACTACAAAAGTAAAGAAAATCATGCGATGAGATGCTCCCGTGGGGCTTTGGCACAGACATGCTTTTGTCTCCCCAGGCTCCCTGCACTCCTGGCAGGACTCGTGGGGTTTGTCCCCAGCAGGCTAAGTGCTGTCCATCCCTTTGGCTCCTCTCCAGATCAGCGCATCCTGACTGTCTCTCAGCCCCTCCAGTCTGAGTGCTCGTCTCTCATGGCCTTCACAAGCCAGTCCCGTTCGGTCCCCTGCTCAGAATCACTCGTGTCACTGGCCTCCACGGCCAGCAGCTTAGGGTGGTTGATTGTCCGCTCCTGGGGCAGTGTGGACTGGATGGACAGGAACAAGGCCAGCCAGAGCAACAGGACCACACAGCAGGACTGGTAGAGCACAGCTAAGCTGAAGTGCATCACCACGAAGCCCCCCACGAAGCTGCCCAGGCTGGCCCCGACCCCGTAAAAGTGGCCTCGGAACACGGCACTCAGAGGTCTCTCTGTTCCGGGAGTGGCCAGATGCTCTATGGAGGCTCCGACTGCCCACCACAGAGCCCCGTGGCTGACGGCGCTCAAGAGCTGAGCGGGGAGGACAGACCACCAGCTCCAGAGGAAAGAGAAATACAGAAGCTGCCCCGCCAGGCAGCCCAGCCCTAGCCCCACCGTGCCCACCCTGGACAGCTTCCTAAGCAACCGAGTTTTGAGAGGATGAAGTAGAATTTCCCCCAGCAAGCCCAGGGACACTGAGAAGCCCATGACCAGTTCGGTGCTCTCGTGGTCTTTCATGTGCCAGAACAGGAAGTTCTGCACGGTGCTGGTGGCGGTTCCTATCAAGAAGACAGTGAGGGCGAGGGTGATGAGGCGGGGGTCACCACCTACGAGAGACAGGGCTTTGACCATTTTGCAGCTGGGCTCCCACCGCCTGTAGACGGGGACGGGAAAGGCAATGCCCACCAGTAAAGCCAGGGTGCTGACCAGTGAGTAGCCGTAGAAGTGCACTACACCCCGGGGGCCATTTGTCATCAGGAAGCAGTCCAGCTGCCCCACCAAGGCTGAGATGCCACACACGCCTGCCGACATGCCCAGCAGCCTCCAGATCCACAGGCTTCTGTAGCGGTCAGTGGCGTCCACAAAATCCAGGTATTCATAAAGGCTGTCATCGGCCACCTGCTCCAGAGGGGAAGTCAGCAGCTCCCAGACCACCATGGAGCCCAGGGAGAGGATGAAAGTCCACCGCAACCCTTCCAAGGAGAGGTCGAGGGCCCCCGCCATCCCCCTGGCTGCCGACTGGTTGGCCGGACTTGCCAACGCCGTACCCCCAGCAAGCAAAGGATGGGCAGGACTGACCACCCTAAAAGCGCCTTCCTGGGGAGTATCTTTCACTCTTGAAGTAATAGGATGGAGGAGAACTCGGGATGTGGTCCTGGTTCCTTGGATGGAGCCCACAAAGGAGCTGGGCAGACGACTGAAAGGTTCTTGGCCACTTTCGCCAGGCCCTTCTCTGAAGCCATCGCCTGGGCCGACCCCAGTACTCCTCTCGGCTGGGAGGCTGGGCGCTGGGTAGTTCGGAGCTGGCTCGGGGGCGGAGGTGACGTTCACGGTGAGTGCGACCGCCGGTGGTGGGACCATGGCGGTCACACTGTGGCTTCCGTTACACGATTGGTACCCTGGGTCTCTGTCCAAGGGCGGCACCAGGACCATCAACAGGCTGGCTCCCACCGAGCCGAGCAGCGAGCCTATCAGAAGCACCCTCCGCTTCTGGTAGCTTTTGGCCAGGAAGGCACAGAAGGGAGCCCAGAAGGCTGCGATCAGGTGCTTGGTTCCCATGAGGATGCCCACCCAGGGCGCGGCCAAGCCCAGCTGCCGCAGGTAGAGGGTCAGGAACGGGGTCACGCAGGCATCCCGGACCCCGCACGCCAGATGGAAGAACCTGGCCACCCCCAGCGCCCTGCTGGTGTCCCACTGGGGGTTGGCGCTCATGGCTGCCCGGCTCCGTCAGACCCCGGCGGATGGAGGGCGCGGCGGGGCGCGGGGCGGGCGCGGCGCCATGTCCCCTGAAGGGAGGCGGGAGCGAGCCGCACGGCACCTCCAGCCTCCGGCGGCGCCGCGGTCACCGGGTCAACGGCCGCCCACCCCCCCACGTCCGGCCACCGACCCGGAAGTGGCCCCGCCCGGAGGGCACCGCCCCCTAAGGGGCGGGGCCGGCGCACCTGCGGGCCGCACCTGCCACGCCCCACGGCTTTCGCCGCCGCACCTGCCAGACGTGCGCAGGTGCAGGAGGGTCGCGGGCTGAGGCCTGCAGTGTGCGCTCGAGGCCACCCCCAGGGCCCCCGCGTAGCCCACGGTGCTGAGTTAGATCCCTGAACTGCTTCAGGCAAGTAAAACTTGGCTGGGGAGGCGCGAGAGTGGAACTCATGATATGCCCCCCTGCCCCGTGTTCTTTAGGTCTTTGCTCATGGGCCCCCTGATCAAGGACGACCCTGTTTCCCTCAGGGACCGTCCCTGTCTACTCGCTGACAAACCCCGCCCCCTCCCCAGACTCACAGTCTCCCCTTCCCTGCTTGTTTTCCTCCGTGGTACGCATCGCTGTCAGACACACTACCGGTTTCTGTTTCACGGGTCTATCTTGTTGATTGTCTGTCTCCATTGGAATCAAAGTGCTATTTTTGTCCCCAGGGCCTAGAACTGTTTGATTGGATGTGAGCTGCCTCTGGAAGAGGCACGACCTTAGGTGACACAGTTTTCTTCAGTGGAGACAATCCCCTGAGAGGGACTGACAGCTGAGGGTGGCCTTGAGGCAGCAGCTCCTCCAGGCAGCCCCGTGCAGCACCCACCCTCAGCCCCATCCCCGGCCAACGTTATGCATGTACTGGATCGCTTTAATCGATACCTGAGGGTGCTTAGTTGTCCATGTGGGGAATACACACGCCAGAGGTGGTTAGCTAACACTTCATCCAAAAGTCACTCCAGAGGCAGTGAATATAAGCACGTTAATGATCTCAGATCAACGGAAGTGGATTCATTAATTATCCTGAGAGATATTGGCAAAATTTCGCTGGTGAAAATCGTGGTGTCCAAGTCACATGGATTGTTTATAATTTTTGGAGGCATCTCCTCCCTTGGTGAACAGGATTAAGAATCCGGAGATTCCAGCAGTCCAGACCTTTTGGAAGGGAAGACTTTACTTTGAGATGGACACTTTACAGTGTCCAGCCACCCAGTGTCCTTGCGTGTATGTTTCAAGTAAGGTTTGTTCGGAGCACCTAATTTGACTGGGGGTGGGGATGCATATCTGAGTGGGCAGCAGAATTTGGTCTATGACGTACTTTCTTTGTAAGCTGGTGGAGAAATTGTTGGGGGAGAAGGCCCAGAGCCCTCACCTAACTCTAACAGCTGGTAACCCCTGCAGCTGTTTATTTCACGAACCTAGTACTTGTTGCCCAAATTGATATGAATCAATTTACATAACCCCAATGACAGAAAAAGAAAGTCTAGCCATGTTCAGATAAACTCACTCAAATTCAGTGATATCAGTCACTTCCTGTTTAAAACCATCTCCGTTACATTCAGGGCTGTCCCTAGTCCCTCTCCTCCCCGGGCTCTGCAGGGGCAGCTTTGGTGGAGGACCGCACATCCATCAACTTCTCGGTCTTCACCTGTCCAGGGTGGATCGCCACTGAGGGGCAGGGATTTCGCCACATAGTGTCCATCAAGGTGCCTGCGGTCCACATCCAGGCTTTAGGTTCTGTGGTCCCTGTAGCCACTCACGGCTGCACCTCTTACCTTGGGCTTGTTTGCTTTCAACTACCTGGGGAAAACAGTACCTGCTTCCTGTGCCCACAGAGGCGCTCTCTTTAAGCTTGCTCTTGGGCCCATCTGCCTAGGCCCGCAGGCAGCCCCTCTTACACCATGCCCCTAGGCTCTGAGAACGTGCTCTGAGACCTGCCCCCACTCCCAGGGCAATAAGGCCAAAAGTGAAGTGCCTACCTCTCCACTCTTGGGTCCCAAACTTGGAAGGGACTCTTCTATCCCACTGCCACCATCCCCTGGGATTGCCCAGGTGATAGGTACGGACTTAACATCTGGATAACATCTGGACTTAACATCTGAACTCAAAAGCCAAGAATTTTGATGTCTTTAATCTCTGGCTCCTCTGAAATGAGCCTGCATTCCCACCTCGGTTCTGGGGACATCTCTGATCAGGAGGCCCTCAGTGAACGTGAACGAGGAGGGGGCCGGGCAGGTGGACAGGACACACCGGTGAATGTTTCACCAAGCTCTTACCTGGGCCTAAGCAGAGTCATTAGGTTAGACTACGTAGTACCTCTGCTCTCTACTAAAACACAAGTATTGCTCGATACAGATGAGAGCAGAAAGACTTTAGTGTGCATTTATCGAATCTGACATTTCCTCTCAACCGGGAGGGACGCCCGCCTGGGAGTGGGCGAGGTGGGCAGTGGCCCGCTAGAGGGAAGGGAACAGACTGGGCTGGAGGGGCTGCCGCTGCCCACGTCCTGTTTGCCCCAGGCCACGGGGCCCCAGGCCACGGGACAGCAGCTCTCACCTTGGTTTTAAGGGCCGGGTGGGGAGCTTGAGTGGGAGAGGCAGGGATTGGAAATCAACGAAGGAGTGGACACAGGAGCAAGGAGCTGGGCTTTGTGTGCACAGCTTGGCCAGGGCCTCCTCGGCCCTTCGTGTGGGCCCTGCCCCACCGCACCCGCCACGGCCAGCTCCCTGTGCTCCTGGGACTTGCTGGCTTTCAGATGTGGCTGGAAGCCGCCCCAGGGAGCCTTGTTCTAGTCGTTGCTGTGAGTGTTTGGGGCGGGTGGGGTAGTGTATCCTTCCTCTCGGGCCCTCCGCTCTCAGACTCAGCGATTCTGCAGCCCCTTTGGGCTCACTGGACAATGCCAGAGAACGTGTTGATGGGCATTCGAAGGGGCTTGGCCTTGGCTTTGGTCCTTTCTATCTCCTCCTGGTGTGAGCTGAGTCCCAGCACCTTGGATTTCTGGGCCCCAGAACACGGCTCTGGGCAGGGAGCAACCTCGAACCTGTGGGCGGAGAGAGGCCAGCTCGGGAGACCCATCTCAGGGGTCAGATCTGTCTGGGCCTTTTAAACGTAGCCCCTTTACTGTCGGGTATAGACAAGGGGGCTCCGCAGAGGCAAGAGGAAGAGTCAGAAGGAGAAAGGGTACCCTGAGCCTGGGGCGAACGCACGGAGAGGAGGATACGCCTGAACGGGTCACCCTGTGCGCCTGCCTGACCCAAAAACACCTCCCCAGGGGACACCAGTAAGTGTCGTGTTAACTGGGTCGTAGCTGCCACAGAAGGGCAGCCTGTGTTGGGGGCAGTGCCAGCACAGGAGGTTGGATCGGGAGGGCTGCAGGCTGAGCATTTGTAGAAGAATCTCGGGAGAACTTAATCTCAGCTACTGCCCAAGGTCAGCCCATCATTTGCTCTTCTTCCTGGATTTAAGTCATCACCTGAGTCCACACCCATCAGGGATACCTGCCTGGCCCACGATCCACCCCGACAAGGCGTTCAGGGCTCAGGCAAGAGCGGGGGCGGGGCCGGCAGCCGGGAAGCTTTGCCCCAGGGGCACGGAGCCCAGCCTCACCTGGCCACATCCCTGTACGCGCGGCAACTGTCCTTGTCCAGCAACAGTGTCAGCAGCCTCTGGTCCTGGCTTTGGATCTGGACGTTAGCCGACCGGAAGGTGTTTGTCACCGTCTGCAATAGAGACAGCTTGGGGAGCATCACCTTGGTAACGGATGGCCCAGCCAACACCTCCTACCCTGGAATCCTGTGTGTTTCAGTTCAGTACACAAGGGTCCCGCCTCTCTTCTTGCAAGTGACCCTGAGTAGTGACAAACCTGCATAAGATGCTTCTAGGCAGCCTTGGTCCTTGGCTCTCCCATCATTTCCACAGTTCTTTTTCCCACCTGTTGTCCTTAATTTCAAACACAACCTGGGATGCTACAGTTAGAGCTTGCCAGGTGCTGAAGTGACCTGAGCACCTCCTTTTTGACAGGCATGTTATGTATGTAATTTGGGGCTACTTCAGGGTTTTTATAAGCCCTGACCCCTGTACTCAGTGTTGGATTGCATACAAAATTATTTCCCTGGGGCAGAGACAGAGGGTCTGGAAAACAGCCACCTATCCCCATGACTCAGGCTAAGCCTGTACCAGTTTGTACCATGGGGCTAGTTACGTCCTCTGCACAGGGAACCCGGGTCATGGTGTTCCCACCTTCCACACCCACAGCCCTGCGCAGCTTCTCCAGAAAGTACCCAGGAGCAGAGGAAAGCAGCCCCGAGGCAGCCCTCCAACCCGTGACCTGAGGGGGCTGCTCCCGAGAGACCCCTCCTCCTGGACAGAGAACGTAGAGCATCCTGGGCTCCAGGTGGGGCACTGAGGGCCTTTCCGGTCACTGGCCCATAGCACACGTGGATAGCAGCTTTGCATGACTCACCAACGCAGAGCATTGGAGTTTCTAGAGCATTAGCCTCCATCTCATTCAAGTATTCTCAACCCCTGGAGTCACCTTTCCAAAACATAAAATTAGAAATTCTGATCTAAGTGGTCTGGAGTCCAGCCCCGGCCTGGGCATTTTTCATAAGCTCCCTGTTGTAGGCAGGGCTGATCCACCTTCCTACTGTCAAACAGCAGAGGGACAAACAAAGCCTCAACCTGGGGCGGGGGGGGTCAAGCATGTCCAGGCATTTCTGCTGGACTTTTGTGGGGTGGAAGGTGGGTTTGGCAGCCAGGAGTCTATGGGCAGAGTGTGCAAGAATCTCTCGGGAGACTCTCCACCCAGACCATCCTGGCTCTGCCACTTATTAGCCGTGTGACCTTGGACATGATTCTTAATCACTGCGTGCTTTTGTTTCTCACCTTTGCAACGACCTTGTAGGTAGCGAGACAGTACAGAGGTAAAAGGGAACTCGCTAGGGTGGTAAGTTTAGATTTTCAAAAAGCTCACAACCAGGTTATTTAAAGAGGTCATTAAAAATAGAAACCGTGGTAAGGAACTGACTTTGAAAGGGGAAATACATAAAGGTAAATAGGTCCACCCTGGAACCTGAAGCTCAAATACAGAGCTGTCCTGTTGGAAGATCTCAACTCAGTACAAAGCTCTCAGTCCGTCAGAGCGCTCCTCCAGTGCATAGGCTGCCCCAGAAAAAATGAACTCTGGTTAGAGGTGAGATCCTGCATAGGTGGAGGCTGGATCAGATGATCAGGGAACATCTAGCCCGCTCCTGCTGTGGGCCATTCCCACGGTGGGTGCTGGAAAGACACGGAGATAGGGCCTGAGCCACGAGATCACGTCATTGACAAGTTTTGCAAATGCTTCAGTGGCTCTGTCCCCAGGGCTCTGGGGAAGCACAGAGGTGGGGTCCCTAGCTCTCCGGGGAGTGGGGAATGGGTGGAGGAGGTGGAGGGAAGGGCCTCCTGGGGGAGATAACACCTGAGTTTCATCTTGAAAGAGAGATAGGGGTTATGAAAGGAAGATGGGGAAGAGAAAGGGAGGAACGGGGTTTCAGGCCCAGCAAAGCACGTGAACAAAGGCACAGAGGAAGGTCTGCCAGTACACTTCCAAATGGAACCGAGCAGGATACTATGGGACCTTCCCCGGACAGACCCCTCCCCCATATCTGCTGTAGCTCCTCTCTGAAGTACCTGGATAACAGTACCTGATGCACATTTCCTGAGCTGTTTTACAGATGCTAAAACCACCGCCAAATGGAAGAAATTAACTACTTGATGACCATGAGCACGTAGCCCCCAGACCTACTGGCGCCTAAGGATTGATAACGTTAACCCCTGTGACACCACCCTGTTACCTCGCCATCAACCAATCAGAGAACTGCGCACCAGCTGATCACATACACTGGGACGCCCTTCCCTCACCTGGCCTTTAAAAGCGCTTTGCTGAAACCCATCGGGGACTTCGGTGGTTTTGAGCACCAGCTGCCCTGGACTCCTTGCTTGGCACCCTGCAAAAAACACTGCACTTTCCTTCACCATGACCCGGTGTCTGTGTATTGGCTTTGCCGAGTGCAGGCGAGAGGACCCAGGTTTGGTTCGGTATCACAGATACCCCCGTGTAAAGTGCACGCAGGGGTGGCCAGGGTTGCAGATGGAGAGAAAGCGGAACCAAGCTATGCAACACTGAAGTTTCTCCGCCCTTCTGCCCTGGAGAGTAGGAAATGGTCGAGGGATTTTAAGCACAGAGTCATGTGTCCGAGTTCTGTTTTAGAAAGATCATGCAAGCAGAGGTATGGAGGGTGGATTGCAGGAGTACTGGAATGACATCGGGGAGACCGGCTGGGAGGCTGTAGAGTTTGTCCAGGAGAAGGGGGTGGATGAAGGTCTGGCCCAAGGGTGACCAATTCGTCCCAGGAAACCCCTTAGTCCCTGGCAAATTGGGACAGATGGTCAACCTCACTGGACCACAAGAAGGAGGATGGAGAGGAAGAGAGAGGTGTGAGAGTGTTTGAGAGAGAAAACCAGTGGACACGGGGAGGTGAGAAAGGGGAGGCATCTGAGCTTACTCCAAAGTTGCCGGGACAGGTGACTGGTTAATGATGGTCCTGCTGAATGAGAGACAAGACACGGGGGAGGAGGGGATGAAATAAAAACAGTCGCTAATACATATATAGCTCTGACTTGGCCAAGCACTCTTCTAGAAGCTTGACACGTCACCATCATTTAATCCTCACAACAACCGGATAGGTAGGTACCATTACTGTCCCCGTTTTCCAGATAACGAGACTGAGGGACAGAGAGCTGGAGTGACTTGCCTAAATCACGTAGCTGGTAAATGACAGCTCAGATCTGAGCCCAGGCAGTCTGGCTCCAGAGAGCTCTTAACTACTAGAAAGCACTGGCTCTGGTTTTGAATATCTTGGGTTTGGGGTGTCGTGGGACACTGAGGTCATGCTAACTTAGTTGAATGCAGGAGTCAGACACTCAGGGATGAATGTCAGAGCAGGAGATAAAGGTTTGGGCACCCTTAACAACTTGGACTAAAGCCATGGACGTGGTTTTGAGAGTCCAGGGAATAAGAAAAGAAGTGGGCCATGGACTGAAGTGGGGAACAGTGGCTATTTAAGGAACTGGCTTAGGAAAAAGAGTCCAGAGAAAAGGGCTGAGTGATGCCAAGGCTTGGGATGAGGTGGAAGGTCACGGCCCTGACCTCGTGGATGCAGGGTATCGCGGAAGCACTCAGACACCTGAGCATCAGACCGAGTGGGCAGCTTGACCTAAAGGTAGTGTCTGCCTGACAGGCGATGTGGGGAAGCTGAGGCTGTCTTGAGAACGTGGTTCAGGTATGATCACGGGCTCCAAGCCCAGCCGAGTAGGGCAGTGAAGTCCAGAGAGGCCATCAGATAGGGAGAAAATGGGCGGGTCCTATGCCTGTATCAATAAGGGACTCTCTATGAGTATCGGTAAGGGTTAAGGCAAAGGGCAAAGGGCGGCGGTAGGGTGATGAGGTTGAAAGAGCTGGTGTGATGTGGTCAAAGGCTGGGCCATTGCTGTTTGGGAGTCTAGCTGCTGTGTGCAGGGGACGCCAGAACCCGGGTGCATTTTGTACTATCTGGGTACGTCTTAGGTCCTCAGATGGTCCAGGTGGAGGTGGAGGGCGGGGCCTTAACTCTTCCAGTGCCTTACTTATGCCAGTTGGTGGTCAGTACTTCAAACAGACTGACTGGAAAGCAGATTCTTTCCAACAGGATGACCCACTTCAACAGCAAAGGCTCAGAAAGGCTCAAAAGTCCATTCCCCCTTCGCTGAAACCCTCCCCCTGGGCTCCCCGCCACCTGCCCTGCATGAATCTCCCCAGTACTTACAGAGAAGGACCTTCCTGTCAAGTTGGAGGTCTTGACAACCTCTGTCACGCTAATATTCAGGCATGTGTGGTCTGTCTCCGGAGCAGCAGTTGGGGGGCAGTGGGTGGACCCTGAAACTGGGAAGAATGAGATGGTGGGTGAGGGGCTGTGAATGGGCCTCTAGGGAAGTAGGGCAGCTTGAGACTCCACCTCCCAAGAAGGACACAAACCCACCTTGACTACTGCCCCGCCCCCTTTTAACCCCTCCCCACACCCTGCGCAGCCCCTACTTCCTGACTCCACCTTGGTCCCCGCCAAGCCTCAGTTCCCTCCAGATCATCCGTCTCCGTCCCCTGGAGAATCCACATTTCTATATCCTGAGGCATAGCAGCCATCACCAACCTAAATTCTTTCTTTCACCTTCTCCTGTACCCGTTTCCAATGGGAAGAAGTTCTTCTGCAGCCACTGGGCATGCTCAGAATGGCAGGACCACCTAGCCCAGGATGGTGTGTAAGACAGAGGGCTGTAGGAAGGCATCTGTCCCAACATGTCGAGAGCATTTCTTTGACTTTCCTCACAGTGTATAATGTGTCAAAAACCATTATTGTGTGACTGCTGCCCGGCTTTACCCCTCCCTGCCGACAAAGGAGGGTTCTTAGAGATCCAAGTTCGGACAGGACTGTGTGATGGAAAATTTGGAGGAGATTCAGGAGTTAGAGTGGGGGTGGATGGGGTGGGAGTTTTGTAAGGGAAACAGAAGAAATCAAAGTTTAACAATAGGGCTGACGCTACAGTTTACTGTGTGCACATACATTAGCATCTTGTCTCTATTTTAGAAATGAACAAGCAGGTAGACAGGTCACAAGTAACCCGAGGTCACACAGATGGAAACGCGGCAAAGCTGGGCTTCGACGCCTGCCCACCTGGTTCTAGAATCTGTGCTCCTGCCCCACTGCTCTGTGACCGCCTCTTGTCTTAGAGCTATTGCCAAAGTCACACGTCTCCTTCACGTACACGAGGCCACGTACACCCCTCCGCGTGGTCCCTCCACCTTCCAGCTCAGGCTCATCCGGCGGCAGAAGCATCACCCAGCGCTGCTCGATGCTGACCAACCTGAAGGCCAGGCGGGTCCTCGCCCGGGCAGCCTGGCGCCCAGCTCCGGGCCCAGCACGGGTAGGAGTTCGACCACGTTCCGTGATCCCAGGGACAGGGAGGGAGGCTCCTTCCCCTGGCTCAGCCCGTCTCCTTCTCTCTCTGTCCTCTCTCCTCCGCACCCCAGCTTTCCCGTGCGTGTCCTTCCCTGTCTCTGCTCTGCGTGCCCAGCCCCTCACCTTCAGTGTCACCGGCTGGAAGTGCCTTTAGGACCAGCCCGGTGGCCCGCAGGGAGACGGTGACCTCTCGGGTGCGGTGGCTGAGCAGGGCCTGGGGAGGGGGATGCGGGGACGGAGGGGGGTCCTCAGGACAAGGTACACGACACCACGTCAACAGTCCTGCTTCTGTCCCCTTCCCCCCATCCCCCGCTTCCTGCCCCTGCCCTGAGTGTTGGCCGTGTCACTAATGTCCAGTAAGGAGCTAGAGGACGCAGGCTCAGAACGCTCAGCCCAGGGAGCCTTCCAGACCAAGGACTACGCCCCCATACAGCGGGTCAGCTAGAGAGGAGGGTATTTTTTTTACTTATTTATTTTTTTTGCAGTACGCAGGCCTCTCACTGTTGTGGCCTCTCGCGTTGCGGAGCACAGGCTCCGGACGCGCAGGCTCAGCGGCCATGGCTCAGGGGCCCAGCCGCTCCGCGGCATGTGGGATCCTCCCGGACCGGGGCACGAACCCGTGTCCCCTGCATCGGCAGGCGGACCCTCAACCACTGCGCCACCAGGGAAGCCCGAGGAGGGTATTTTTGAGCAAGGGGACAGCGCCTTGTTCCTTAGGTCAGATCGCCTCCTTGGCTGTGTGTAAGGCCAACTGTAACCCGCCCATCCCTGCAAAACTCCCTGGAGGCTGGGAAACTCTGGGGGCAGCCACGAGAAAAGGGCAGAAGTTTCCTCTGGCTCTATCCGCTCCCCCTGATGTCCCTGACAACTGCTTCCCCCCAGTTGAACCTCCGGGCCACCTGCTGACCACGCCACACACACTGACCTTCTGGTAGCGAACGGAGAGCTCAGCCCCTGGGCCCTCAGCCACGCCCCTCCTCCGGGGTGAAAGGCTCTCTGCAGGGGACGAGAAGAGGCTGAATGAAGGTGGGAGGTCCCCGTCCCTCCTGCCCTGGCTCCCCACGTCCCTGAGGTGGAGCTGAAGCTGCATCTGTCCCGGGATGGAAAGGCAGCACCCTAGGGGGGCCAGGCTGCCCTTCAGTAGGGCAAAGCCCCCCGGTATTCAGCAGAGGTGGGACGGGGCTTGGGGGGAACCATTAGGTGAGAGGTGGGGGGACTTTCTGGAAGCGGGCCTTGAGGAGCTGAGCCAGGGCAAGCTTTGGGAAAGGGGAGACAGATGCCCACCTCTGGGGAACTTGGAGTCCTGGATCTTGACTTTGAGCTCGGTGAGGAAGATGTCCTCTGCAGGGTCCTGACTCAGGTCACTGAGGAAGATCTGGAGGGAGGCAGGGAGGAGGGAGGCTGGAGGAGGCCGTCCCCAGCAGAGGCAGCTCCCCCCAACACCCGCAGCCCGGGATGCGGGCTTCTAATCCAAGTGCCCACCACTGCCCTCAGATCTTCCATGGGCTGACTTCCTTGCCCTTATCTTCCCCTATCTTTTAATTTATTTTTCTACTCATTTGAATTCTCACAGGAACCCTGTGGTGAAGATTATTCCTATTTTAAATGGTTGCCCCACCTCCTACATTGCACCTGCCTTCCAGAAAGGAGAAAAGCTTGTGCCAATTGAGACAGCCCCACCTTTTTTTTTTTTTTTTTTTAAATATTTCTTTCTGCCTTTATTTAGGCTGTGCTGGGTCTTAGTTGTGGCACACAGGATCTTTAGTTGCGGCCTGCAAACTCTTAGTTGCGGCATGCGTGTGGGATCTAGTCCCCTGATCAGGGATCGAACCTGGGCCCCCTGCATTGGGAGCGCGGAGTCTTAACCACTGGACCACCAGGGAAGTCCCTATTCCCATTTTGAAGATGGGGAAAATGAATGTTAGAGAGGTAGAGGTACTGCGATCCCACAGTGAGCAGGTGGGGGGACCAGGAGGCAAAGCCATGAACTTCTTACCACCGCACACAGGCTCTAACTTTACACCCACTGCACCCAGCCGGTCCCACACTGACCCACTCTTTGGTTTACACACACACATACACACACACACACACACACACTCACACACACATACACTTCATGGTGTTAATAGCAGGATATTCAAAGATAAACAAAGGACAGTCTCTTATCTCAGGGGACTCAGAGTCTTGGTGGGGAGAGACAGGTATCTGCAGATATATGACAAAGTGGCAGTGAGGTGTCAGAGGGATGCCCAGGGCATCACAGGGGCACCCAGGAGAAGCACCCAATCGGGCTGAGAGGAGCAGAGATGAGGGCAGTTTTGCTGTAGGACGTGAGGGCTAGCAAGGATGAAGGGGAGGATGTGAGGTAAGGGAGAGAACCTTCCACACGAAGAAGACCTGCTTCTGCTTGAACTTGAGGCCTTAGGAGTTAATAATTATCTGACTCATCCAGAGAGTAAGAAGAGAAAGTTAACAACCAAGAATGTCTGGATGAGTTTATGACTTGCATCCTGGCCCCCTGTTTCCCTGGAGCCAGGGTATTTAGGTTGTGGGGTCCTGGGATCCAGCAGGCTGCCATGGTCTCCTTGGAGCCCCAGGTGGGAAGCTTACCTTGACTGCGTAGATCTGGAAATAGATGGGTTGGGTGCCCATGCGAACATAGTAGGTGATGGCATCCAGGATGAAGGGGTCTACGGTCTGGGACGTGTCCAGGGAGAGAGGCTGTGTGAGTGAGGGAGAGGTACTGTCTTCAGCCAGCTTCCTCCATCCTACTGTGGGAGCTGACTCTTTCTTTTTTTTTCTTTCTCACCATGCTGCATGGCTTGCAGGATCTTAGTTCCCTGACCAGGGATTGAACCCGAACTCTGGCACTGAAAGTGCTGAGTCTAAACCACTGGACTACCAGGGAATTCCTACAGGCCTTCCCCAACCCCATATGATTATAAAGCATAATGGGTTTTTCAGGTAAACAGAACGTCTATATAATATCTGACAGTATCAGAGTTGGAAAGAAGCTCAGCGTATTTCACCTATATCCAATCTTATAATATCTCTTCTAACTTTCACATCTGGTCTATTGAAATCTCGTTCCTTTCAAGAAGCTCACACTGAGGAATTATGAACTTATTCTAATAGTGCTGCCCTTGTTCACAGTATTTCCATTTTCTTCATGTGGAAAATGCTTTTGGAGTTAAGTGTAAGGGTCACATAAATTGTTAATTATAAGGGGAAAGAGAGCAGGGGAAAATAAAAATCCTACATGTGTCTTGACGGGGAAAACAGCTACCAACAAAGGAGTATAAATGAGACCCTGCATCAGATGTTTCTCCTGTTAGTATCCTCCAGGTTTCGAGGAAAAGGTATTTTAATACCCAGCTAAACAGTCTTTCATATATAGGCAAAGACATTTTCAGATAAGTAATAATTCAGAAAAGATGCCTATCTCCAATATCTTTATTAGAATATAAGAAGATGCCCTAATCAATCAGGCAATGAAGCAAAATGTGGCCAGTTAGAAAGTAATTATGTAAAAATCAATAACCTCCTTTTATACTAGCAGTAACTACTACCCAAATATAATGGGAGAAAAATCCACAACTATAAGAAAAAGCCATCAAACATAAGGAATAAATTTAGCAGGAAATGGGTAAAATCTATATGATGAAAACTGTACAACTCACCTGAGGGAGATACAAGAAGACTTTAATAAGTGAAGAGTTATACCTCACCCCCAGAGAGTGTAACATAATGTGCTAAAGATGTTAATTCTCCAAACTTCAATCGAGATCCCAAGGGAATTAAAAATAAAACTCGACAAAGGAATTCTAAAATTTATCTGGAAATATAAAGAAACAAGACTTTCCAAGTCTGGAAAGTTTTGAACAAGTAATGGGGTAGATGTACCGTGCCAAACACTGACATTAAAAAGTGCTAATTTATACAAAAATGAATAGATGAATCAGAAAGAATAGATATCCAGAAATCAACTCAAGCATGTGTGACAATTTAGTAAATGATAAAAGTGGCATTTCAAATTGATGGGGCAAGATGGTTTATGCAATAAATAGCTTTAGGACAACTGGCTAAACACTTGGAAAAAATAAAATCACATACTAAAATTAATAGCAGATAGGTTATTTACATGTAAAAATTGAGACCATAAGATGGTTAGAGAAATTATCAGTAAATATTTACTTAATCTTGGAGTGGAGAAGGCCTTTCAAAGCATGGCTCCGAAGGGAAAAATCATAAAGGGTAAAAATATTGAAATTCTGTAAGTCAAAAAAAAAAACACTGACAAAATTGTTAGGCAAATAAAAAAGTGGGGGGAAATGTCTGCAGCACATATGACAGCAGAAAGGGAAGGCCTTTCAAATCAATAAAAGATGAGCTCTCCTTGCCCCCCCACCCCCCACTGCCTGGGGGGTGGGGGATTGGCACTATGGCTTGTGGTTAAGAGAACATGCTCTGGAATCAAGCTGCCTGATTCCAAGTGGGACTCCTTCTGTTACTCTGGGCAAGTGACCTAATCTCTTTGTGCCTCAGCTGCTTGATCTGTAAAATGGGGATGCAGTGGCAATAGCGCCTGTAGACAGACAGGAGAACCTGGTTGGCGGGGCTGCTGCGTCTAAGTGCTTAGAACGGTGCCTGGCATGGGGCAGTGCTCAGGAAGCATGAACTGTTGCAGTTGGAGAGAAAATAGCACAAGAAACTCACAGAAGAAGGCATATAATTGGCCTACACACTTAAGAATGTTTTACTTTATCTTCTCCATAGCGTTCCCGTAGGTGCCTGGTACGTGCTCCGAGTGAATTCCAGCCACTAGCTGGTTAGGGCTCCTCTTCTGTATTCCTTCCTGCCTCACCCCTCATGGGGCTCCCTGGGCTGACTCTTGAGGTCAAGGGTCAAGAAAACACCCCCTACCACCTCCCTCCCGCCCCCCTACCCTCGCTGCCCTACCATCTCTGCCAGCTTGTGGATGGCGGGGCACAGGGTGTTGACGATGCTCTCGTACCACGGGTCTGCACGGCCCAGGAACGCAGCCAACTCTCCGAGCTCCGAACGCCTGGATGCTGTGGGCTTCTGGGGACAAAGGGACAAGGGGACAGGGCAGACCCGTCAGGCCCTCTCTGGCACTCTCTTCCTATCGGAGGGTCCCCAGGTACCAGTCCTGGGCAAACTAGCTTTGGGAATATGACCAAATCACTCAACCTCTTGGGGCGTTGATTTCTGCACCATGTGAAGACTTGTTTTACACCTGAGATGAAGCTGGAACCCCCTTCCCTGAGGATGCCTGCCAGGGACACTGAAAAATGATCAACAGCCTTTAAAGGGGAGAGACAAGTATTGCCTTGAATTTAATGCTTTCCAATCAGAAGCAGGGTGGGCAACAGAAAAGGAAAATTGCCGGTGCGGCTTCATTCCCGGCCCCCCGGGAAGGGTGGTGTGTATGTGGCTGAGGGGGTGTGTGTGTGTGAGAGAGCCCTGTTTGAGAAGCTTGCCATTAATTCCGTTAGAAAAGCAGAATGATGCTCCCAGTGAGAGAGCATCTCTCTCTGGCCACATGCAGCCCCCAGGGCCCACGTCTGTGGCTTCTGGGACAGAAAGCCTCCAGGTCTCTCCCAGATCCACATCCTAAGGAAGAATGATCCCAGTTCCCGCTCCTGACACCTTCCATCTCTTCCCCCACGTCCCCCGCCCCCCCATCCAGCCACCTCAGATGCCAGCACAGGGATGTAGTAGAGCTGCAGGCTGAGTCTGGGGGTGAGGCAGAACTTCTGGGTCTCTCGTTTCCTGGCAAGGGGGAGCAGAGCACAGGCATGAGGGCAGGGGTTTTGACTTCAGACAGACTTGGTTCCACATCCTGGCTCTGCTATTTATTATGTCTTGACTCTGGGCAATTGACCTACTCTCTCTGAACCTCTGTTTTCTCATCTGTAGAATGGGTGCAGTAAAGCAGGCAGCACAGCGCTCCGTGGTGGCCGGGTGCGGGGGCCGGGGGATTACTGTGCACCATCTTCTGCCATCCCAGCCTGGCCTCGACCTCCTGAGCGCCCCCCCGCCCGACCCTTCCACCCTTCACCAGCACAGGCTGGGCCCACCTGTGCCCCGACCATCCCCAGCCGCCCCTTGGGGCCCTACCTGAGGCTGTGGTAGGCCCGGGCCAGGCGCCCCAGCATCCGGTCGTCCCCTAGCACCAGCACCCGGGCCGTGTGCAGCCGGGAGACCCCAGGCAGCAGCCCCCTATCCCCGCTGGGCCTGCCAGTCCTCTGGTGCAGCCCCGGCGGCCCATCCCAGCTGCCGGGCATCAGGATGTCCGGGGGCCACACCCGCTTCTTGATGCCCCCTTTGCGCTTCAGCCTGGCTTGCTCCACCTCGGGGCTGCCAGGTGTGGGCGGCTCGTCGGCCCCCCAAGGAAGGTCCCGCTCGATGCCGCTGTCGGTGGACAGCATGGACGCCCGGGCCAACTCCCGGTCTGGCAGGAGGCCCTGCAGATCCAAGGCTTCCAAGTCTGCACTGAGGCGCAGCTGGGATCGCGGGCACAGGAAGAGAACCAGTTCCTTCCCTGGGACGCGGAGACAAAGGGGACCATCAGGGCGGAGAACGGACGCGAGGCTGGCAGGGCCCCACCCTGGCAAGGTCGGTGGTTCCGTGTTTCCCACACACGGTTAGCTGAACAGAAGCCCCATGAGATGCTCCGTGAAGGAACAGAGGTTCTGTGGCCAACAGAGACTAAGAACCCCACACACTCCTGTCAAAGTAAACATCTTAAAGGCTCTGAGAAGTCCTGTAGCTTAATGCAGTGCCTCCTGACTCTAGAGCCCTCTTCTCCATATTTGCTCATTAGCATCCTCCATTCTCCAGCGCCCCCATAGTTTCCCCCGGGACACAGATAACAGAGCATCAGCTCCTGGCTTTTCTAATTGACCTTCATTTTATTGCTCCTGAGGAAACTGAGGCCCCCAGGGAACTGACATCTAGGGTGAACCAGCACGTGAAAGGACACGTGGGCCTTGAATCCGGTTCACCAGTCTGGCACTTCCCACCACAACCTGCCGCTCTATCTTCCCCCCTCCCCTGAGAAGAGCCAGGGGGACTGGGGGACAGACATCAGCGTGGAGGGGAAGTGTGGGCCCCCTCCTGCTCTGGAAACCATAACTTTTTTGTGCCTGCCTCCTTCTTGGGGACGTGTATTGTCTGTCTGCATCATCATGGCATGTGACACTTTCTAGACACATGTGGCCAGTGGCTAATGCACGGAGTGTTCTGACATAGAGCAAATGTATTCTCATTTCAGATGCTGCAAACAACTCAGGGAACAAGGAGCACACACAGACACACACACAGCAGATACACAGGCAGACACAAAGACACAACAGAGACGCACAAAGATACACACAGGCACACACAGAGACACAGACGTAGACATACACACAGATACACAATAAATATACATAGAGATAGACACACACACAGTGCACACACAGACGCAAACATGTAGACACAGACACACAAAGACACCTGCACACACACCAAAAGACATACACACAAACACACACAGATGCACAGACACACACACACACACACACACACACACATGCACACACACATACACCACTATTTCCAGCCCGCTCCCCCCAGAGGGGTCAAAGGCACTGCACTTACAGAGCTGTTCCTCATTGGTCCACAGGTGGAAGGTGATATGGGGGCTGGGCAGAGGGATGCTTGGAAGCCGGTCCTGGGGGGGCTCACCTGAAGGACAGGCTGTGGAGACCACGGAGGAGAGGACTGTGCGATTCTCCTCTGCCCTCTCCCCACCCCCAGCTCCTGTGTGGGGCCTATGGGGGTGGGTGGCAGAGACCCTCGCCCTCCCGTATCTGGCCCTGTCAAGTTCCTCTGCCTCTCTGCCACCATCAGCTCATCCAGGGCCTAACACCTGCCCAAGGATGCCTAGCGGCTCCCAGTTTCCTACAAACTTCCTAGCTGGGCCTTCAAGACCCTTCACAAGCCAGCTCACTGCATCATTCCCAACCTTTTCTCCCTCCCCCAGCCCCGCTGCAGCCATGCTGCCTTTCCCACTGTTCAGAGACATCCTGGCCACATGCAGACCAGGGGAAAGGCCTCCGTATTTCTCAGGGCCTCCTCCAGGAGCATGCACACAGTAGATGCTCAATTAACGTTTGCTCCTGGTGCTGAAAAGAGTCACGGCCAAGTACGAAGGGCAGCAGGAAGCCTGCATCCAGGGGAGAGAGCAGGGCCAACCAACCCCCCTCTCCTCCTTCCAGAAGCCTTCCTGACACTCCAGCCTGGGAGTCACCCCCTCCCCAGACCTTACTGGCTGCACACTGGGCACACCTAACATGTAGCCTTAGGATTTAACTTCCACATAGCACAGCTCCCTTCTGAACAAGGCTGCAAGCTTCCTTAGGGGAGAGCAACCCACGGTCACTGAACACTTACTACTGTTCTCACCGTGCCCACAGTGCTATCATCTCACCGGGTCCTACCAGCGACCCTGGGGCACAGGTAATATTATCTTCACTATAGAGGAGGAGTCAGGGGCACAGAGAGGTTAAGTAACTGGCCTGAGGTCACACAGTAAGTGGCAGAGCCAGAATTTGAGCCCAGGCAGCCTGGCTACAGAGTCCATGCTTTTACCCATGACACGGTGCCCATAACCACTGTCCCATGCTGCCCCCCAGTAGCAGGGGCTCAACGGGGGTGCTGGCTGGCCATTAAGATGCGCAGGGCAAGTCTGGGCGGGAGGCAGGTGCCTGGATGTGTCTGGGATGGTGGGGGCAGCCCAGAGTGGTCTTGTCCTGCCCACGCAGATTTACTGCTGAGTTAGCAAGCGGTACCCAAGGAGAGCAAAGCCAGATTTGCCCCAGGGTTTCGCCCAGCTTTGGGAGGGGAGAGGCTTCATGAACAGACATTTCCATGTGGCAATCCAGAGGCAGTGTAGAATATTAAAGCAAAATAAGAGGAGGCTGAGAAGGAGGAAGTTTTAAGCAGGTGCCCAACCTGCCTGCCTCACCCTGACTTCTGCAGTCTCCACCCTCCCTGGGCTGCCGAGGTCAAGCCCAGGGAGGGCCGGCACACTGGCCTCTGCCCGTGGTTTCCAGTCCTCAGGCAAGTGCCGTGTACCTATGGGTGCACCGTGTGTTCGGGGCATGCAGGCTGACAAACTCCACGGGTGCTTTGAGCGGCCATGAAACAGGACACAAATCAGAACCGTCCTCCAGTAGCCAGAAAATATATGTTCCAGACACTTCTCTGGGCTCTCTGGAGTTTCTGCAACACACACGGGCTTGCTTCCCATCAGTGTATGGCATTGTCTTATAAAAAGGCAAGCAGAAAGCAAGCGTTGGAATAAAAATCTGTGAGACCAGATGTAAGTGATGTAGACTCAGATGCTCTTTAGGGGATCCGTGGACCATTGGATCCCTTGGTTACTATAGTATGGTGGTTAAGAGCTAGACAGCCTGGGTTTGAATCTCAGCTCTGCTACTTACTAACTGCGTGATCTTGGGCAAGATTTATAGCCTCTTTCTAACTCTGTTTTCTCACCTGCAAAATGGGGTTAATGCTTCCTACCTCATAAGTAGTCTACTGTGAGGATTAATTGATTTAATATACGTAAACTGCTGAGAGCAGCAACTGGGGTATAGTGGGCGCCCAGGAGGTGTCAGCTGTTATCATGACCCTAATTACCCACCTTCTAATTAGCCCAGGACATTCAAGCTCTTGGGAGCCGCTGCGTGTCCCACCCCGCTTCAGCCACGCGCGCAGACTCTGAGCAGGTACAGCGCTGGTCTCTGGCGCCCCCTGCAGGGTACCCGGACCGCAGCTCACCGCTCCTGACGCTTACCGCCGCAGCGCCCCCTGGCGGCCGCCGCCGGCCCCAGCAGCGAGCAGTAAATCTCCTTCAGCCTCTCCAGGTGGCCCTCCCGGCTTGGGCTGGGCCCGCTGGCCATCTGCTCCACGGCTGCCACCACGGCGTGGAAATAGTGCTCCAGGGCGCGGCGGGAGCTGGTCTGCCGGGGAGGAGCATCAGAGCTTGAGTTCCGGCTCTGCACCCACCCACCCCCTGCTCCAACGCCAAGCCTGCAGGTGCGCGGAGAGCCCAGTGGCACCTCCCCTCTGCCCGGGACTCCGGCAGGAGCTTCCCCATGAAGGCCTTCCCACGTCCAGGGCTCCGCTCCTGCCCTGCCATAGCTGTTGCCCGATGCCGCCTGCAGCAGGGGGTCCCCTCGGCCCCTCACACCGTGGTGTGGGGGGACAGCTGGTGCCCGGCAATGTTGGGAACCCCGGGGGACAGGGATGGCCTCTGGCGCCCACCCTCCTTGGGATGTCACTAAGTATCTGGATCACTGTTCTGCCATCACTCGGATGTAAACTCAGGATGGTAGCGGTTTTGTCTGTTTCATTTACAGCTGCATCCCCAACACGTAGAACGTCTGCTGGCTCATAGTAAGTGCTCGATAAATATTTGTTGAATATTTCCTAAACGTCTGTCACTCCTATACTGCCTTGACATACCACCTATAAATCATTATTTTTCTTTAAATCATTGCACTTTTTTGGTTCAAAACTATTTCAAAAGCAAATTTCATATTGCTGCTCTAAGTAAAACGGCTAGTGTCACTTGTCATAAACAGAAAATAACTAAGATGAAAATAATGATCACAAAACTCTATTATTAAATTGTAGCCAGGTACTATGGCCTGCCAAGGCTTTAGAGCTGGAAGCTTGCGTTTTCTTTTAAAAAAGGCAGATTAGCAAGCATTCAAGAGGTTAAGGGTAAAGCACCAAGCTGAGCCTTTCTCCTTAACGCAAACAGGTTTTGAAGAGCTTCTCACTCTTTGAGTTTCACCATGCTCTCCAGCACCGAAGGCTCCTGTCTCCATGGGTACCTCTCTGACACCTTGAGAACTCCCCTGGATCACTGTTCTCTGGCTGTGTCCCCTCACCCCCACTCACCACCAGCTAATCCCAGCTCATGACCGAGGATGCGGGGCCCAAACGAGTGACACGGGCAGGCACAGCAGGGCTTGCTCTGATCTCTTTTTTGTGCTAGGGGTCCGCTGAGCAGGGTCTTAACTTCCTGGGCTGAGGGAGAGTGGGTCATTCTGACTAGCTAGGGCTCCAGTAAATATTTGCTGAATGACCAGCTGAATGAACACGAGCAATTAGAGGGACAAGGAGTCAGAGTTGGAAGGGGCCACGGGGACCATCTCGTCTTGTTGCTTCATTTTATAAATTGATTATAAGTGAATTAATTAAATAGTTATCAAGTACCCACTAGGTTCCAGGCACTGTTCTAAGTGCTGGAGTACAGCAGTAAACAAAACAGACAAAAATTCCTGTCTGCATGAAGCTTATATTATAGTGTATCTCTTTGTGTGTGTGGGGGGGGGAAATAATAAACAAGATAAGTGAAATTTATAGTATAATAACAATAAAGCAATGAAAAGAAAATAAAGCAGGGCAGGAGGATGTGCAATCTGGGGGAGGGACTGAAGTTTTAGACAGTGTGACCAGAGGAGCCTCACTGAAAGGTGACTTTTGACTAAAAGTTTAAAGGAAGTGAAGGGTCGAGTCATGTGGATACCTGCCACGGGGCAGCCCCACCTGGACACCATCTCTAGCATCCGGAACACAGAGCAGAGGGTCCGAGAGCTGGGTTGTCCCAGGCTGCCCTCCCAGTCTCGAGACCTTGTCAGATCCTGTGGACACGAGGGGAGACCAATCTACGCCCCCCACCTCCTATCTGAGCCTCGGACCAGGCCCTCAGCAGACAGGAGGTGGGCTGGTGGCCAGATAAGGCCTACCTACCAGACCGTGGTTGGCTGGGCCACTTCTCCCAGGCCCCACCGGCCCTCGAGCCAGCAGGTATGACTGGGAACGGCACCCCTCAAGCAGAATTCCAGATAAGGAGGCTGGGGTCTCAGGGGGCGGGGAGCCCCAGGCCGGGCTGAGGTCTAGGAGCCCCAGCACCCAAAAGGGGAGGGGGGGTGCCGGGGGGGACCACTGAGGACCCCTTAACTCCAAGCTTCCTAGGGTCTCTAACTTCAGATCAGTGACGCATTCCCTGGGTCTCTCCTGGCTCTTCTTTGGTCCCTCCCCGCCCCCCCCCCATTCTCTTTTCACAAACATGGAGACTCAGAGCCGTGAGCTCCACATAGAGAGAGGTGGCGGAGGGTGCATAAGATTTTGACTATGTTTAAAAAAATACAGCTTTCACTTTCAGCATTTCTTTCTTCTACAGCGAAGTAGTGCTCGCATCAGACCCATTAATTTCAGCCCTGAACCCCACCCCATTCTTGACCCAGCACCTCCCAATCCTACCCCATTCCTGATGCCCTCAAACCCAGCCCAGCCTCACTCCCAAGCCAACCCCTGAACTCCAGCCACATCCAACTCGGGGATGGAGTGAGGCTGGGGATCCTCTAATGCCTGCATCACTGAGAAACAAAAATCAATGCGCTTAAGATGTTAGGGAACTGTTGACCAAAACCACCCACTTGGGCCAGGCTCGATGATCACCGCTTGCCTGAGCTGTCTCACAACAGGAGGTCCCGAGAATTCAGGAGGGGCCAAAAGAGGGAGGAGATGACCAACCTCCCAGAATCCTTTGCACTGGAATCCACCTTGGCTGAGAGATACGCCACCAGGAAGGACCCTGAGTTAGACTATGGACCAAGCAAGATGATTGGTCAGAGACAACCCGGAAACTAACCCCATCACCACAAAACCCGAGACTGTCAAGCCACGTGGCAGAGCAGTTCCCCTGGGTTCCCTTACCCTGCTGCTCTCCGCCCGGGAGCCCTTTCGCAATAGAGTCTCTTGCTTTGTCAGCACGTGTGTCTCCTCGGACAATTCATTTCCGAGTGTTAGACAAGAGCCCACTCTCAGGCCCTGGAAGCGGTCCCCCTTCCTGCAACACTTACATGTTTGCCATTGTTGTGTGAAACAGCCCCTGTGTGGCTGCCAGGTCAGCTGGCAAACTCTGGTCAGGAAGGCGACTACCCTCCCCCCTTCCCGAGAGCCACGGCCAAGTGCAGGGAGAGGGGACAGTAGCCCACGTTAGGACAGACACATGAGACACATTAGGGGCCATAGGTGCCTGTGCTAAAACCAGCCTGGGGCTTAGGTACGAGTCCGGCGGGGAGGGGCATTCCTCCATCACGCGTTCTGTGTGCTGTGAGCCCCCAAAGGGGCTGTTATGGAAGGAGGGATGTCCCGGATGGCGGCATGGGGGAAGGGAGTCAAGAACCCTCAGTGGATCCAAGCAGGTGGGCAACCACAAAGGAATGGTGGGGATGGTCCTTTTAGAGAAAAGGAATGACAGAAAACGACCAACATGGTTTAAGAAGGAACCCAGGGCTTCCCTGGTGGCGCAGTGGTTGAGAGTCCGCCTGCTGATGCAGGGGACACGGGTTCGTGCCCCGGTCCGGGAAGATCCCAAATGCCGCGGAGCGGCTGGGCCCGTGAGCCATGGCCGCTGAGCCTGCGCGTCCGGAGCCTGTGCTCCGCAACGGGAGAGGCCACAACAGTGAGAGGCCCGCGTACCGCAAAAAAAAAAAAAAAAAAAAGAAGGAACCCAGCCGCACATAAAAGACACCCATCAAAAGAAGGATCCAAGACCTAGGGCTCAGGGTGTGGAGAATTCCAGATGGAAACAAGAGAAGGAAGAGCAACGGCTCCAGTGCATTTTGATGAGCAAAGCAGGTCCTGAGACTCGGGCTGGAGAAAGGACAGACAACCACTTCCTGGGGCAGGACGGGCAGGGGATCGTGGACCCCTCAAGGGCACGCCCCGTTCTGGAGCCGGCCCCTCCTACGGCACCACAGCCCTGAGCGACCCTCCGACCCCCCTTCCCGAAGGGCAGGCACCTTTCCGCCTACTGTGCAGACTCCGGCTGGCATCCTCCCCCACCCAAGAAATCCAGCGCCTGGGGCCACCGCGGCCAGAGAATCTGCAACCTGCTGCAGTCTTGGCTGTGGACAGGGGTGAGGCTTAGTCAGAGAGAAAAGCTAGGAAATAGGTGGGCAAGTGTTGGAAACAAACTAAATGCCCGCAACAGGAGCCGGGGATAAAGAAATAACAGCACGTTCACGAATTCTCTGCACCAGCGGCAGCACGTGTTTTCCAAGGAAAATATTTCCATATGGCATAGTTCCAGTGGCAAGGAAAAATAGATATTATATTTATGCACATAGAGAGGCAGTATATAAACTGTATACAGAGTCTGATAGCTCAGTTGTTAAAAAGGAGTGGGGCTGCGGATGGGGCTGGAAGGCGATTGAACACAGGCTTGAAGTCAGATAGACCTGGGTTCAAATCCAGACACAGCCACTTCCTATCTGTGTCACCACAGGTAGGTTATCGGCTTCTCTGTGCCTTTGTTTTGGTAAGTACATCCATTTCACAATGTTGTGGTGAGAGTTTTTTAAGGTGACACCTGTAAAGTGTTGAACACGGTGCCTGGAACACAGCAGACGTTCAATAAACAGTGGCTCTTGTGATGATCACTGTCGATATTATTCAGGAAACATACCAAATGTTAATTGCTAATGTGTGTGGGTAGAGGGGTGTGAGTGATTTTTATTTTCTTTCTTGGCTCTCCTGCATTGTTTTTCAAATTTTCCTTAGTGAATGTGTCTTTGTCTTTGGTTTGGGGAAAAAGGTGATGTGGAAACAGGAGAAGGGGGAAGCCCAGGAGAGTGAGCTGCTGGTATGGGGGGGCGGGGCAGTGACCTTACCTGAAGCTTCCTCTGCAGCACACCTGCCTCGCAGGCCTCCCCCAGCGCCGCCTGCAGGGCGTGGGAGACCACGTGGCGCATGCAGGCCTCTGGTGTCTGCTGCCCCTGGGCCGCCTCAATCTCCAGCAGCAGGGCACTGCACACGGAGGGAGACACCAGCTCAGGATCCACGAAGAGGAACACTCTGAGGGCAAAGGTGGGGGGACCGGGAGCCGATGAGGACCACGGGGAGCAGGGCCGCCCTCAGAGCCTCGCGGCACCCGCCACCCCCACCCCCAAGTTATTTACTTCCTCCAAAACAGGAGCCTCAAATTCAAAATTCTACTGGGGGACAACACTAGGGAGTGGTGGGGATTGCGGCAAAGAAGAGCAGGCACGGCCCTTCCAGGGGGGCAGCTGGTCCCTCTGGGTCCCTCTCATGTCTAGGTAAGTTCCAGCTGAAATGCCCCTCCCTCCCTCAGCGTGGCCCGTTGACCCCGTAGCCCTCTAGGAGGGACCCTAAATCCTTCCTGCTGAAACGAGCTCTGAACCCTAAGTGAGCCCCTTCTTCTCTCATCCCCCTCATCACAGCAGAAAACCAACCTCACCCACCCTCTCTTCTGTACTCAACTGTCATTTCAACCTCTCCAATGCCAAGTCGTCTGGATCCCTTCCCCTCCCTGCACCCTCCACGAACACAGAGCCCCAGGCTACACCTTTCAGTACCAGGCGAGCAGAGGTACCTGCAGGGCAGGAGGCTACGCACCCCCTGCTTCACCCCCGACTCCATCAGCCTCTCTCCCCAGCACGAGCAGTGGACGCGTCCTCAGTCTTACACACACACAGATGAAAGACCCCAGATCTCATGGTGTGACTGTGGCCTGAATTACTGATATTCTAGAGGTGCCTCTGGCTGCTTGATGCAACACCATGGCCAAGGGCAGAATGGAGGTGGAACCATGGATCTGCAGAATGGCCCGGTGCTCGTGCCCACGTTCTGCATGTGAGCGGGCGAGCTCTGAATCCAGCCCAAGAAGAAAGTCCTAACTGCTTTCAGGGGTCTCCAGGGAAGGACACGCCCTCTCCACCCTGAGGACGGCCCGCTGCTGGACAAACGCCATGGATGGGAGGGGATGCTCCCCACGCAGACTCCACACTTGTCCTGCGGGCAGCACCCTCGCTGGGGCCACTCACCTCTCCCGGTAGGGGTACAGCTCATTCGTCAGGTTCTGCTCGGCAATGACCAGCCTCTGGTACAGCGTCCCTGCGGGGCAGACCACTTCAGCCAACCAGCATCTGAGGCTCTGACCCCCATTCCCTACTTTCCCAGAAGGTGCTGGAGATTTTGAACTCCCTGGAATCCTGGAGAGGAAGGCAAGACCTTGGGCAGAGCTGGAGTGGCTCTTACCTGGGACGGCCGTCTCCGTTTTCAGCCTTATGGCGCAGTCCAGGGCGATGGTGCAGTAGGGGGCGGGCAGGGTCAGCAACTTCGTGCAAAAGGCATAGGTTCTCCGGTGGAGCTCCTCTGTGATGCCCGTGGCCTGGGTGAGACGGAGGAATCAGGGTGCCCGGAGCCCTAGGTCTCGCAGGGTCCTGGGTGGTGCGGGGTGATGGGGGGCGGGGAGAGCAGCCAGACCTGGGCTCACACTTCCCTCCCAAATCTACACCTTCAGCCTCTTCTCCCAGCATCTCTAAGACATCTCCCCTCCTACACCACGTTCAGGCTTCTCAAGATGGAAACTCATCCCCACCCTGTTTTGCCAGCACATCGACTCCCCTCGCAGCCCTTCTGCTCTGTCGGGGTTGCGAATTTACCGCCACTACCTCCCCAATTTCATCTCTTCGTGTATCAGGGCGAGGGCAGGGCTATGGGGAGAAGCCAGTTAGGGGCAGGTGCTCCTCGAGCTCCTCTAGGCTCGCTCACCAGGCAGAGACTGGTTGTCTCCTGAGTGTCCAGCCCCGTCACCCGTGGGTCACCCCGACCCCCTTCACCCTCAGTCCCCGCTCACCTTAGTGAGCACGTACATTAGAGTGTGCAGCAAGGGAATGATGACATGCCGGGCGTCCTCACTTTCTGCCTGGAAAACAGGAGATCACAGGACATGGATGGGGCGCACAGGTGCGGGGGGTCGCAGGGGTCTCGCCACATCCTAGCGGGAGATGTGGTGGAAGGCAGTGTCCCAGCAGGCCGAGGGGAGTGGAAAAGGGCCACAGCCTGCCCTGGTAGAAGAGTGGGGGTGGGGGGCACAGGTGCGGGAGCCCAGGTGTGAGGGCATGGGGGAGGGGTGCAGGGAACTCCCTGAGGGAGGGGCGGCACTGACTCAGGGCAGGAGCTGGTAGCAAAGTGACAGGTGAGGCGCCAGCTTGGAGGCTCCCCTGAGTGCAGCGTTTCCCAAACGTAGAGCACTGGGTGGTGTGGAGGGTAATTACGAGGATAATTTTGAAAATTTTTAGTAGTTAGGCATTTATGTTTACAGGTACTTTCCATTTCTGTCCAGTGATACGGGTTTTCCATTTACGGTCGTGTCGTAGAGATCCTTTTTGAAAGACGTTAACTCAGGTCAAAGAGTGGGAGTCAACGTAAAGATAAAATTGCTTATAGCAAAGTACTGGAGAAGAAGAAATACGGTAGAAATCAAACGACCAGAGTGTGTGAGACACGGGGTGGATGGGCCCAAGTCCCCAGCGGGAACGGCCTCTCTTCCTCTCGTCCCTGTCTGCCCCCTGCCCGAAGCCCGAGGACTCACCTTCTCCAGTTCTCTGAGCAGTATGCGGACCAGTGCCGGACTCTTACCAGGATCCCGCTCGACCTTCTTGTGCAGGGACCATCTCCACATGCCTGGGTCAGGAGAAAGGGGTGTCCAGCCCAGCCAGGGGGGAGGGGGGGCCTCTGAAAGGAGACCCCTCTGAGCAGGACTCTGAGCCCTGGAGTCCCAGGTCTGACCCCCGCCCCCACTGCCAGGTGCTGGGCTCCGCGCCCATGGAGGGGGGGCGGTTTCTCTGATCTGCAGCCCCCATGAGCGGTGAATTCCCAGGGCGGAAAGGAGGGAGGCGGGACGCTAGCGGGGACAGGTGTGTGCACGTGGCTTCTGGAGCAGCGATGTTTACAGCTCAGCACCCCAAGCCACGTTCCTGGGAGTCATGCGGGCCTGGAGTGCCAGGGGACTTTTATTTGCAAGGCAAGTTGGAGAAGGCGGTTAAGAAAGAGGGCGGCAGACCCCCGATGGGCTGTGCCACAGTCCCTGGAGGGTGAGCCAGGGGGCAGAGAAGACCTTCTGGGTCCTTCAGGCTCCAAGGATTTCCAGGAGGACGGGGGCTTGGCTGGAAGCCCCTCATTCTGTGAGCTCCAGGCTGGGGCGCTTTCTTCCCGAGAACACGTGGGTGGAGTTGGCTGGGCTGGGGTGGGGGAAGCAGAGAGAACGGACGGTGCCTGCCGGCTCTTACCTTGGTTGCTCGGCAGGGCAGGGGCCTGGGCACTGAGCTCTCGGAGCACAGCGCGCACGCTCCGCTGGAGGTCCAGGTCCACATCTGGGCAGCAGGGTGGGGAAGCTTTGAGGCCAGGAGCCCCTGGCCTTACCCTCGCTCCCACCTCCACTCTCCCTGAGAATGTCCTTAGCGTCTTCTCTGAGCCTCAAGAGGTGCCCGGAAGTAATCAACTTAGAGCTGGCAGCCTGCATCCCGGCCAGGACTGCAATACAGCCTTTCAATCGGCATTTCTCTGTTTTTTGTAAAATCCACATTCCCCAGAGTGTGGTACGTATATTGCCAGTGACATGCGAGACAATTTTAGATGGTACACAGATGATTCTAAAATTTGAGTAATTATGCACTTATTTTAATGTATAGAAAAAATATATATAACTAGTTCCTCAACTAGTATGAAGCTAAAATTTAAAGTCAATTTAAAGAAACATATCAGATAGATACCAGGAGGTGACAAGAACTCTCTCCCTGACCAAACTTCACTCGGGATCCTCGGAGCCCTGCTCTCCACTAGGCCCTCAGCGTAGCCCCTGTCCTGTCTTTGGTCTCCAAGCCCAGTTTTAGCAAGGATCCTGCTGTCAGTCGATAGAAGTCCCTCTCCCTGATATCTGACCAAGCTCTCTATTCCCCACCTTTGATGTGTAAGTTCTTGACCTGTGTCCGGCAAGAATCCTGCTAGGTCGCTTTAGTAAGCATCTCCCACCCCTGAGGTCCCCTCTTAGGAATTTTCCATCTACTGACCCCTCCCTCTGTTTGTTGGCTGTAAATCCCCAGCTGTCTTTGCCTTATTCAGAGCAGAGGCCCATCTCTCTCCTCCACTGCAATAATCTTGAATAAATTCTTTAGGATTTAACAAGTGTCAAAATAATTATTTTCTTTAACAGCAGAGCATTGACACTGCAGAGCTGCGGAGGTGGGTACGCGAATCAGTAACTGACACTTGGAAAGCACGGTAGCCGTGAAAACGCACCTCACTGATCTCCCGCTACAACGAGTGTAAGGAACCAGGGAGCTTTGTGCTGTTGGGCTGTGAAACCCATCACCTCCTGCCGAGGCCACACTTCCCAGCCAACAGGGGGCAGCAGCAGGAATTCTAAAGCCAGCTCGGGAAGCTTTGTAGGCGGCTGACTCTGCGGCTCAGGGATTGCCCAACCCAAGACCCGTCAGTCTAGCACATTTCCACCCAACCCTTCCTCCCTTCCTCCTTCTCTCAGAGTTGGATTTTCATCACCTTCTGGGAGCTCGCTCTCCCAGCCCTCACCAGCTCCCTCCGTCTCCATTTTCTGTCCCACAGGTGTTTCCCCACATGAAGCCTTGCATGTCTAATCCTGTCTTGCTGTCTGCTTCTTAGAGGATCTGGACCAACACAGGAAGTACGGGAGACACTCCCTGTACCATCAATTCCCCTTTATGATAAGCTCCAACCAAGAGGCTGTTTTTACAGGCGAGGGTGCAGTCTCTTGTTGTCAGACAGTACAAACCACACGCCTCAGAGGTTCCCCTTTTGCCTTGGCGGTCAGGAAACTTACAGCCAAACTGGGGCCCCGTCTCAAAAATCAGCTCATCTCAAGTGAGAGAGACCTCTCTCCTTTGCTCCTTTTCGGGTGCGTTTGCTTCATGTTCTACTAAACATATATCTTAATTGCCTCAGATTCCTTTGGAAATAGGTAGGGTAGAGAGGACAAATCTAAAAAACCAGCAGGTTGCAGCCCAGGAGTTAGAATTTCTTTAGGTCAAGGCACCCCATGCCCTGGTGCTCATGGACTGGCCCTTCCATGGCTCTGGCGTGGGCCCTTGTACGTCTGCTGGGGCCACCCAACATCTCTGAAACCCTCATTTTCCTCCTGCCTCTCACTTGTTCCCCTGCCCAGACCAGGTCCAGGTCTGAATCTGAGTCTCCTTCAAGCTCAGAGCGGGCAGGAAGTGGGCAGGTGTTACAGCGCACGTTTGCCCACCCGGCCACTGTGTTGGGCAGTGCAGCATCTCCCAAAACTAGCAAGGAAATGATTTAGCCTGGCAAGAAGTCTTGTCCCAAGCCATCCTTCCATCTACCGAGCTCCACCTGGCATGAAAATAAATGAGTTAACGCAGGGTGGGTTACTAAAAAATAATGCTATGTCCTATTTCTTCTTTCCTTCTTTCTTCCTTCTCCCCTCCCTTCTTCTGCCCACCTTCCCGCCATGGACTACACAAAAGACTTAAAACTGTGATAACTGTGATTTCCTCCCTGCCCCCTCATTAGAAGGGCAGCCAAACCTTTGTCTTCCGAGCCCTAGGTCCTCCTGCTTTGCAGAGGGAGTTAAGTTTTTATGTTTCAGAGAAAAAATGGAGAAGTTAGACTCTGCCAGTAGCCCCGGGAGACAACCCCAAATAAACTTTATTTTCAAAAGTCTGGGCAGCTGGAACAAACTCTCAGGCTTTGGTCCACATCTGGCTTGCAGACGTGTCTTGTTTGGGCTTGTAGAGTGTCTTGGAAAAAATTTAAAAAATGAACTAGCTGCCAACATTCACAAATCAGGAGATTTTGCATCAAAGTTCGGATTTCTGGCATCTCCTGAAAGTCTGTCGACACTGGGCGTGCGTTCTTCTTACATATGACAGTGACAGGGGCTGGGGAGCAGCTACCGCTTGAGACAGGGCACAGCTCCCCTAGGGCTTCAGAGTGGTCACTCTCCTTGTTTCCCTCACTTACATCCTCTCCCCAGCCCCTTGACTTTGAGACCCCTGGCTGTCTGATTGAGACAATCAAGCTGGATTGTCTCCAAGGGATGGGGGTGAAGGCTGCTGCTTTTAGTTAAAGAGGGGAGTGGCGATTCAAGGGTGGAAGGTTGGATTCCCAAGACTGTGAGGGTACGAGGGTTATGGGGACCCAGGAAGGAGGAAGACCAGGGTTGGCTGGGACATAGCTGAACGGTGGTGGCAAAGATCTCAGATGAGGGCAGCTAAGCGCTAAACTCTGTGTGCTTGAGTGCCACGGCTGTGGTCTCCTGGGCCACCTTTGCCAGAGCACAAGAATGTCCCCAAAGGAGCCCCCTGTCTCCTTATGGACCATGCAAGCTGTTCTGGGGGCTGTAGCCATAGTGGACTGAAGACCACCGACACTTCCCATCATGCAGACTTCGTAACCCCTGGCCTTCTCATAGGATCCCAAGGAGTGGAGGGGGGTACCGCAAGTGAATGACATTGGAATTTGTACGGACCTTGGAAAACAAGAGCTTGAAGCTGGATTTGATTTGATTAAGCCAAAGAAATAATATTTCTCGTGCCTCAAGTATCTCAGGGTCGTTTATACATGATATGCAATGTCTAACAGAATTCTTGGTCCAGAACACCCACTAAATAAATAACATTCATTATCCACCCCTCCATCCAGGAATAGGATATAACTATCAGGTATCCAGATTACTATTAATACCTAACATTTAAATAGCACTTGAGGGCTTCCCCGGTGGCACAGTGGTTAAGAATCCACCTGCCAACGCAGGGGACACAGGTTCGAGCCCTGGTCCGGGAAGATCCCACATGCCGCAAAGCAGCTAAGCCTGTGTGCCACAACTACTGAAGCCCGCATGCCTAGAGCCCGTGCTGTGCAACAAGAGAAGCCACCACAATGAGAAGCCCACGCACCGCAACGAAGAGTAGTAGCCCCTGCTTGCCACAACTAGAGAAAGCCCACGCGCAGCAACAAAGATCCAACGCAGTCAAAAAGAAATACATTAAAAATAATAATAAAATAAATAGCACTTGAATGGTACACGTGTAGAGAGTCTTACGTAGGCGTAGCAAGACAATGGTACGTGTTCATCAAACCAAGTTCCTTTTTGTCGCAGGTAGATGAGAAGACTACATTTCCCAGACTCCCTTGCTGTTTCACAGGAGCCATGTGACTGAGTTCTGGCCAATGGCACGTGGTGGAGGTGGTATGTGCCACCTTCAGGCGTGGCCATAAAACCCTCCACCCTATCCTCCATGAGCTTGGAATATATATGTGGAAGATGATGGTGCCCTGAGAGGAAAGAAGCCTCTGTCCCTGAAAGACTGTAGCCCAGATTGGGTGGTGACATGAGTAAGAAGCATTTGTTGTGTTGATCTACTGACACTGGGGTCATCTTTTACGGCAGCCACTGTCCTCTGACTCGGGGATGCACAAACTGTGTGTGTTGTCTCACTGGATTCTGAGCAGAGCCCTGTGAGTTTGCCAGAACAATTACTGTTCTCCCTGTTTTGTGGAATCTAGATTGAAAGTCACCCCATATCGCCTCTCCAACCACAGAAGGTCAGACCCAGAGGGACCTCGGAGGCTGGCTCTCTCTCTTCCCATTTCACGGAGGCGGAAATGAGGCTCAGAGGGGAGAGGCGATTTTCGCAAGGTCACAGAGCTTTTTGTTGGAGCAGAGCTTTCTGTTTGCCAAAATGCACTTCCTCTAAAGCTGTCATCTTACTTGTGACCATTCACCTCTTTACTGGGGAAAGGGAAGAGGGGACACCCAGGTGAGACTGTGAGCGCGTGTCTACCTATGTGTGCCTGGGGCTTGAATGCAGAAAAAAACGCCCCTGATAAAGTTGCCTGAAAAAGGGTTCCCCGCTCTCCAACCAGGGTAGATGTTATTACAGCTAAAGAGACAATAGGGAGGAAGGAAGGGAGAACAAAGGCTGACAGGGTCCTGCTGTGGCAGGACACCCATAGTTCGGGGTCTGCTCCTCTACTTCCGGCCACTCAAAGCTGACCCAGTACTTGGCAATGTCAGCTCTCCATTGTCCTGCGATCCTAGACAGTCAAATCTCTCCCCAACCTCCTCTTAGATGTTTGCTTTTCCCCTGCTTCCCACCCTTGGCTCATATTAGAATCACCTGGAAAGATTTAAGAAAATACCAATGCAGAGCCCACCCCAAACCAAATAAATCAGATATCTGAGGGTGGGGCCCAATCATCAACTTTTAAAAATATCTCCCCAGGAGAATCTAAGGTACAGGATTACAGAACTAATCTAATTCAGTGAGAATTATTGCCTTCGGCGATAAGTTTGGAGATATGAGTAACTGATCTGTTAGAGAAGCCCTGAAGTGACAAGATGCTCAGTTCACAGAGGACAAACGTCCCTGAATTAAGTCACAGGGTCAGGATGGCCCCTCCCTGGCGATACTCCTGGCTCTCACGGTGGTGGGAGGAGATTTAAAAGAATACAATTAGGGGCTTCCCTGGTGGCATAGTGGTTGAGAATCCACCTGCCAACACAGGGGACACAGGTTCGATCCCTAGTCCGGGAAGATCCCACATGCCGCGGAGCAAATAAGCCCGTGCGCCACAACTACTGAGCCTGTGCTCTAGAGCCCGTGAGCCACAACTACTTAAGCCTGCGCACCTAGAGTCCATGCTCCGCAACAAGAGAAGCCACCGCAATGAGAAGCCCATGCACTGCAACGAAGAGTAGCCCCCGCTCACCGCAACTAGAGAAAGCCCAAGCGCAGCAACGAAGACCCAACGCAGCCAAAAATAAATAAATAAAATAAATAAACTTATTTAAAAGAATACAATTGGAGAAAGTTTATTATTATTACTATTATTTTTGTTGTTGTCCATTAGCTTGTTTGCAAAAGATATAACCTTTGTTTAGAAATGTAACCCTTATAGACACCAGTGTTCTGACACTCTTTGGGTCCAGCCATGACAGGAATAAAATCTCCTAAGATTTTTTTCAAGCAGACCAGTCTTTGTCTTCTTGAAGTTGTCCCATACCCTCTTGTGACGGTTAATTTTACGAGTCAACTTGACTGGGCAACAGGGCACCCAGATATTTGGTCAGATGTTATTTTGATTGCGTCTGTGGTGTTTTAGATGAGTTTAATATTTAAATCGATAGATCAAGTAAAGCAGATTGCCCTTACTAATGTGGGTGGGCCCCATCCAATCAGTGGTGGCCTGAATAGAGCAAAAGGCTGACCCTCCCCCAAGGAAGAGGGAATTCCTCCTGCCTGACTGCCTTCCAGCTGGAACACTGGTTTTCCCCTGCCTTTGGACTTGAACTGAAACACTGGCTTTTCCTGAGTCTCGAGCCTGCTGGCTTCTGGAATGGAATTTACACCATTGGCTGTCCTGACTGCAGGTCTTGGTACTTGTCAGCCTCCATAATCATGTAAGCCAACTCCTTATAATAAATCTCATTCTCTATATGTATATACATCCTACTGGTTCTGTTCCTCTGGAGAACCCCGACAAACATGCCCAGAGAGGACCCTGGCATCAGTATGGGGAAAGCTGGTGGAATAATCAAACTTAAAATTCCCTCAGCCTGCTCCAGCCGCTGCACATAGCCACCCAGACGAGGGGGTTACAGGGGACATAAAATTACTACCAAAGAGATGAATTCATAATTCCCAAGGGATGTTTCCCTCAAACTAGGATGTTGTGGAGAACTGTCCTTTTCCACTCTCTGGGTATCAGCCGTCAGAATCAGAACCCCCTCCCTGGAATGGAAATGGAAACACACCAATGAACTCTTTCTGGTCCCTTCCCTTTAAAATCACAATAAAATCCCTAACCCAGGGGTCCCACTACCTCATGCCGGGTGAGCCATAAAACAATTGAGAAGAATATGGTTTGTTTGTGTGTGTTCCAATTCAGCCTTGGACTACCGGAGGCAGCTTAGCTCTGTACCGGTGAATGTCATGTGGTACATGTTGTGTTTACTAGTTTCCATTTTGGAGGATGACCTTTTCCTGACCTTGACCTTTGAGCTGGGCTCCATTTTCCCGGAGCCCATGGGGCCCCAATACGCTGACCACCTGGACCTTACCGACTGCCCTTCCTACCAGGGGCGAGGACTTGTCTGAGAATCCCCTGGTGAACAGACAGCACTGTCTGAGCATCTCAGCTGCTCATTGAAATCACGTGCTCAGCACCCAATTGCACCATTGGCTGAAGTGAGTGACACGCTCGTGTGCTCCTCTTTCTTCCATCCCGTGCCTGACTCCCACCATCCCCCCATGTGGTACAAAGGCTCAGATGTTTCTAAAAAGGTTTGCAATCTTGCCCCTGTTTGCAGGAGTGGCAAAATAACAATACCTTTGGTGACCTTGAAACATTGCTCTTTGCAGCCCTCCAAATAAACGTCTTACTTTTCAGGTGCCCCTCTTCTTGACTCTAGGATGAGAGGTGTCTAAGGGCTGTAGGAAGGTGGGAAAAGTTAAAAACAACTATAATTTGGAAAGCCAGCCAGGACAACTGCAGTCCCTGGTCCTGATGGAAAAACTCCCTTTTGGAGTTTTAGGGCCAGCATCCTAATTTGGGGATGCTTCTCTCACCCACTGGATTTTGGGTCAGGGGGTCATTTGGATGTTGGTGGTCTTTCTTGCCCTGTAGCCTTCCCTGCTCACCATAATCCTGGTGGCACTGTGACCCAGCTGCCCTGCTTTGACCTGGCCTTGGAGTGGCATGGGACCAAGCTGGCCAACGGACTCTCTCTCCCTCTGGGTGACCTTTGTGTGGGTGACAGCCCGGAGTGGAGAGAGCCTCCCCCTTCCTGTCCTGGTGGCAGATCCACCCTGTTCCCTGCCCTTTCTGGTGCCTGATGCTTCAGCTGTTCCTTCAATGCTCAGCCACTTTTTATCTTTGAATATTAAATGAACCATATGGGTTTCTATTGCTTGTATCCAAAGAACCTTTATCGGTATACCTCCCTTCCTAAAACACGATACCGACGTGTCTTAATTGTTGTAATTAAAGTGAGCGCAAAGTAAGTTGGTTTTGAAATGTTCAGTAGGAGATTTTCACAGTGCTGTCCCCACCCTTATCCTCCCAGCCCAAACCCCAGCTGGTTAAAGGTGACCAGGAACCTTGTGACACCAAGATTCACTGGTTGAAGCTTCTTCTGATTGGGTGAGGCTCTCTGAGGGTGAGTGGGGTGTGGAAAGGATGCTGTCTTAGGAATGATAACAAGCTGGTGGCTGTGCCTGCCTCGGGGTGTCCCCTACTCTTCCCTGGGACAGGGATCTTCAACGGCATTGGAGTCTATGCCTGGTGGCCGGAGGAGTGGTTTCTGACTTGCCAGGTGAACATTAGCAGATACACATCTTGGGGGAAGGGTCATCTCTGCTTGTTGTCCCAGGACGGTGTAGGGAGAAAAGTCTAGGTTTTGGAATCAGCCAGACGTGGGTTCCAATCCTGGATCTGCCACTTACTAGCTCTGTAGCTTTGAGCAAATTACCTAACCTCTCTGAGCCTGTTTCCCTTTTAGTAAAATGAGGACAATTGTACTGATATCCCTACCTCACAGAATCCTTCTGATGTTCTGCATGAGGCAACCCGTAGAGAAGTCATTCACAGCACAGATGCTGGAGCTAGATTGCTGGGTTCAAATCCTGATTTGACCATATAATATCTATGTGACCTTGGGACAATACCTGTCTTCTCTCACTTTCCCATATTCTTTTTTTTTTTTTTTTTTTTGTTTCCTCGGGCCTCTCACTGTTGTGGCCTCTCCCGCTGCAGAGCACAGGCTCCGGACGCGCAGGCTCAGTGACCATGGCTCACGGGC